CCCAAATTACTGTCGCCGACTTTGTATCCATTCACACGTTTTGGAGTTTGTCTTTTCAAGGCCTTCTGGTCCTCATGTTCGCTCCTTCTTCTGCTTCTCTATGGATGAAAGGGATGTGCCTAGAGAACACACATCTTTCGTCCATGAGGCTTTTAATCTAGTTAGGATATTGGATTTGAAGTCAATTATCTTCTCACGCTTTCCGAATGAGATAGTGCAGTTGGTACACCTGCGATTTCTGTCTCTTTCTGGCCACTTCAAGGTTCTTCCTCCAGCAATTTCCAATCTGTGGAATCTGCAAACACTCGTTGTTGTAACAACATCTCGGAATCTAGACATTCAAGCAGATTTATGGAAAATGTTACAGTTCCGACATTTGCATACAAGTGGATTAAGTTGCTTACATGGGCCTCGTGCTGAAACAAGGAAGGATAGTGAAGATCCTTTTGTACGAAGAAATATTCAAACTATTTGCACGATCGTGCCTGAGTGTTGCACAGAGAACATATTATCAAGGACTCCCAATTTGAAGAAACTAGGAATTCGGGGCAAGTTAGTTATGCTTGTGCAGGAAAGAGGAGGAATGAGTTTGTTTGATAATCTAGCTAAGTTAGATCACCTTGAAACATTGAAGTTGTTGAACGACACATTCCCCCTGGACCCTTTCAAATGCCACATACCTGGTCTTCCGCAGTCCTATAAGTTCCCGCCAAATCTGAAAAAGCTCACTTTATCCGACACGCTGCTGGATTGGTCGGAAATGTCCACATTAGGTATGCTGCCAAATCTTGAGGTGCTTAAGCTAAAAGACTATGCATTCAGGGGAAGCAGATGGGAACCATTAGATGGTGGCTTTCGCCTTCTTAGAGTATTGCAGCTTGGGAGGTCAGATTTGGTGCATTGGCATGCTTCAAGTCATCACTTTCCTAGACTCGAAAGAGTGGTCCTTAAACACTGCACACACCTTGAGGAGATCCCTTGTGGCTTTGGGGAGGTATCTGCCCTCCAGAATATGGAGCTTTATTGGCCAACGCCAGCTGCTGCTGCCTCTGCTAGGCTAATTCAACAGCAAAAACAGCAGGATCAGAGAATGGTGAACAGTGCATTCAAGCTTCTCATCTATCCGCCAGATCTTTGATCACTAAATTACTACGCCTAGCCACGGTGCATACATCAATTAAATAAGTACAACTTGTTTTTTTCCCTTCATTGTTTAGTTGTTTTTTAAATTGTATGCTGTCCTTGATTAAGCCTTTTACATAAAGATCCAATGAGATGTTCAAATGTGAGAAAAGAGACTGCTGGGGACTGAAAATACTTCACTCCCAAAAATCAAATGGTTCCTTTTCTTCTTTGTCCATGTGTTGTAATGTTCGAATGCTGCTTTCAACTATACTATACTGCCAAACCTTGGATGTGTGTATCTATCTATTACTATACTAAAAGTATGATTAGTGGTATGGTAAGTTGTAGGCACTTTGTGATCTTAGTTTTTGTTGTACCCATATTGCTCCCCATCTTTCAATTAGAGTTAATGCATTTTAATTATGGTAGTAATTTAAAATATGTAACATTCCACATGATTAAATCTCAATAATAATTGTAAGTAAAATTAAAAAATTCCTATTAAAACTATTTAGTGACCCTTACACTTCATCTTTCAAACAATAGTTTTTTTTTTTTTTTGTTGGGCCCGGGGGGGCGGTGTTGGATGGTGGAATAAGAAACATCAAAAATATCATATCATGTACATCTATTATATAATGGCCCTGTTTGAGATTTTGGAATTAACTATCATATCCAGAAAATTTGAAATAGAATTGAAGTACAAAATCCGAAGGTGAGGGTTGCGCATTGTGCAGGCTTAAATAATGTTAATGAAGAAATCAATAAGAATTTTCACCAAAATGGCTTTTCACGATCTGAATTCTTGAGAGCCCCGAGCTCTTGTACAATCTTCATGCTACAGAGCAAGCACAGATTAGTGAATTAAGAGCTAACAAAATGTTAACATGATTGAAGAACAGCTCTGCAGACAACAACATATAAAACATTTTCAGCTATGAACTCCCAATAAGAGAATCAGAAGCAACATGATCAACTTATTGACAAAAAAAAAAAATGGTCTAGAAGAGCCAACTTCATTAATGGAGTCATGAAGTTTCTTCATGGATCCGTTAATCTTTGGGATGTATCCTGACAATGAGGCTGTCATTTCCCATGCTTTCTTGTTCTTGCTGAAGAAGCCTAGCTGAAGTGACAGCAAGAGTGGTCGAATCATCCAAATCAATTATTTGCAGAGTTGGAATTTCTCCAACTCCACTAGGTATTTCAGCCAACTGTCTACAACCCCTGAGAATCAGTTGCTTTAGACATTATTGGTGTCAGTATTCACTAATAAGCTAGATTTGTATGCACAACAAAGTTTTTTAACCTGTGTTAAAAAAAAAAAATAATAACAAGCATCCATTATGTAAGAGCTATATAGACTTGAGAAACTCCAAGATTGAAATATAACACCAAGAATATTGGAATGGATAGATCGAAGCAAGATTGGGGAAGGGAGAATGGAAAGTTATCTCTATTTTACTTTTCAACTGAGAAGAAAAAACTCCATGATAAAATCCTTTACCAATCCACGTACTCCTGAAGGTAAGAATGGTATTGAATCTGATTACCTCCTTCGTATAAGAGTTAGTACTTTTTTGTCTTTTAAATGCTTGTGACTCTTGTGACTACTCTTTATTTGGTGTCAATAATAAAGGGTGTGTTTCTTTTTTATTACATATTATTCCTTCATCACCAACACAGAGAAAAAGGATTTGATTTGAGTTGAAGTTTCCTTAGATCAACACTCCAACAAACAGTTTTGTTTTTTTTTTTTTAATGTAAAATACCAAAGGCTGACAAAAGAGGTCTCTGTCTAAACTCTAAAGTGAAGTGAGCTTTAACAATACTATATACTATTGCTGTTCCCAGATACCATTCCATTTAGTCTCCTTTGAGAGACAATAATATTGTCACATTTTTTTAAAATAAACCAATGGTGGTGTAAATTCGTCTTATATTAGCACAATCACGTCCGCATCCATACTAAAGTTCAGAAAATTGGAAGATACCGTACACACCTAAGTGACCCCATGGAAAAGTTCTTCTTCTGAGTTTGAATCTTCTTCTTCTTCTACTTTCTTGTTGAAATTGTAAGCTTTAGTTCCAATTATTTATGATCATAACTAACGTTTAAGCGATATAGCGAATTATTATGTTACCATTTGCCCCACTTTTTAGCGCTCTTTGTGGCTAAATTTGCCCAATATTGCTGTACTATCATCGTTGGCAGCTAAAGCAAAACACCAAGAACAAAAACAAAAAAAAAAAAAAAGAAAAAGGACAAAAGAAGGACTCTTTGTGATACCCCGTCCTACATCAGAACAGTGAAGTGATATAGATCAATATTTAAAGGGTTAATTACATTTACCTCCCCTGAGCTTTGACCATATTACCAATCAATCCCTGTAATTTTTCCAAATAACGGTCTCACCCTTTGAATGATCAAACATTTAACAAAAACCCCCTTAATGCCGAAAATGCCCTTTTTGAGGCCATATTGCATTAAAAAAAGAACATTTTTATTTATTAACCTTCAAGTAATCCAAAAAAATAGAAAAAAGTTTTTGCTTATTATTTTATAAAAATCATATCTTTGTTTCCATAAATAGTTTTGAATCAATAATTATTTTAAATCTTAAAAATGAATATTAAAAATTAGAAAAATTGAAAGAAAAATAAAAAGAAGCAATTATTTTAAATCCTCAAGTATGGTTCGAATTTATGGTTCAAGGCATGTTGCGGAGAGCACAAGGCATGTTTTCCTCAATTTGAACCATACTCCAGGAATTAAAATAATTTCTTCGTTTGTTATTTTTCTCTCAATTTATCTAATTTTTAATATTCATTTATAAGATTTAAAATAATTATTGCTTCAAAACTATTTATGGAAGCAAAGATATGGTTTTTATAAAATAATAAGCAAAAAAAATTTTCTATTTTTTTGAATTGCTTCAGGGTTAATAAAATAAATATATGTTCTTTTTTTAATGCAACATGGCCTCAATAAGGGCATTTTCGGCATTAAGGGGGTTTTTGTTAAATGTTTGATCATTCAAAGGGTGAGACCGTTATTTGGACAAATTACAGGGATTGATTGGTAATATGGTCAAACCTCAGGGGAGGTAAATGTAATTAACCCATATTTAAATAGAGTCTAAGCATTCAAGTCTAACTTGAAATATTCATTTTAGGTCAGCGAGGACGGAGACTAAATAGTTGAACTTGTCTGTTGAGACTTAATTATGCCATGGGCTTGCAGCTCAAGACGTGACACTCAAAAAAGATTAAAGAAACTGGACACTTAATCTAGCAATTATTCTATTGCACATTTCGATCTTCCAATGAAGTCCTTAATGAGTTAATCATCCACGTCCGCTCTAAAAAAGCACAGCAGAAGCATATATAATTGTCAAATATCAAAGTACATCAGTCTCTTACATTGACACCCGTATATTCTTTCAGCATATGATAACCTTTACAATTAAGGAGACTCCCTAATTCCTCAGGGAGTTTTTTACTCCTCACTCTCAACTATTACTTCGAATGGCAAGACATATTCATAGGAATTCAACGGCCGGCAAAATAACATTACACAACTTAGTTGAAAGGGATCAAACTTGTCTTTTTAAGTTATTGCTCTGCCAGTCAATCTTGATGCACTTGTGAGTTCATCACAAACACCTGTGGGTGGCCAGTAAGGAGGAATGTGTTTGTCCCAAAGTCAGATTATGAAGTTGATCAACAAAATGCATAAGAACAATCACCAGAATGGCTTCTCATGATCTGAATCCTGATAGCAGGAGAGACCTGAGCTCTTCTACCACTTCAGTGTTCGCATGTCACTAAGCAAGTACAGATTAATGACTAAGAGATCAGAAAAAGTAACGTGAAGAAGAACATGGCAAATTGATTAAAAAAGTTTGGCAATGAACTGTCTAAGTTTGGATAAAGATGAACTTGATTAACTTGTTAACAGAAACAAGTATACAAGGGATGACATCTCTAATGAAGTTTCTCCATGGATCTATCAATCTCTATTCTCTAGAATGTATCCTGACTATTAGGCCATCATTTCCCATGCTATATTGTTCTTGCTGAATAAGCCTTGCCGAACTCACGGCAAGACTGCTGGAATCATCCACATCAATTATTTGCAGGGTAGGAATTTCTCCAACTCCACTTGGTATTTCATCCAAGTGTCTGCAACATCTCAGAATCAGCTGCTGTAGCCTTCGGAAATGAGAACCAGTTACTCCCCACTGAACTAGATCTGTCCCATCAATTAGCAGATATTTTAGTTGACAAAACTCATCTTCTTCCACTTGCCATTCTGGCCCTTGGAAAGCATAGTCTTTCAGTTTGAGTACTTCAAGATTGGGTAACAAACCAAGAGTTCTCATCTTCTCCCATGGCAGAAAGCTCCCGTTTAAGGTCAGTTTCCTAAGTTTTGGTGGGAAAGCATTCCAACCGGAGAATTGACCTCTTCCCAGAAAGACACATTTAAGTTTTTCAAGTTCAGCAAGGTAAAGAAGATCATCAAGGCAATTATGTGATGGTTGCATCACACAGATACCGAGTTTCTTTAAATTGGGAAGACAGGCAAACGTTTCCCTATAACAATTGGTAAAGCTTACAGTTGAAAGCTTATGTAGGTTGGTTAGGACAAGAGAGTTGCTTGCAATAGCTTTGGCTCCTGCAGGATAGGGCAAACAAGCACCATTCTTTATATGAAGATATCTTAACCGAGGCATCTTCCATATGTCACTAGGTAAAGTTACATTCCTGTCATGCTCATTAATCAGTGTTTGTAGATTCCCCAGCTGGGACAAGCATGTACCAAAATAAGTACGAGCGGAAAGTGCAAGATACCTCAGATGAACTAGCTGCGTTATCTCAACAGGGAAATGCTCGAAGAACCTAAAAAGAATCTCTAGTACCCTCAGCAACTTCAAATCCATCACAGTAACACGAGAATCTAGCATCTTATCGAATTCTGTCACTTGAAGTCGACCATAAAAGAGAATAGATCGACAACGAGGAATTGCAGGCTTCATGTAGTCACAATGTTCTATCCTGCTGCTGGAATTAAACATACCATAGGATCTGCTTATTTGATGATGGAAGCAGAGGCAACGCTTATAATAAGCATCTGTGGGAAAGAAATTAGCATCTGACTTCAGCACCAGAAGAAAATCTTCTTTTTCAACTTCTCTCAAGATCAAGTCCCTCACGAGATCATGGATGCCACAACTTTTAATACCACCATTGGATTTTCTCTTCCTAACCATAACTAGACTTCTACTCATTAGCTCTTGTAAGCACATCTCTGCCACTTCTTCGAGGGTCTTTGGCCATTCTGCTCTGAGAATTCCTTCAGCCGCCCAAAGCCTGATCAATCTCCAGACAGGGATCTCAAACTCTTGGGGAAAAGCTCCTAAATATAGAAAGCAAGCTTTGAGGTGATGAGGCAAAGACTTATAACTCAAGGCAAGAATGTCTAAGCAATTCTCTTGATCTTTAGACTCTGGTGATCGTATGTCATCTGCAACAGTCTTCCAGCAATCTTTTGTTTTTCTGATGCTGGAGAGATGACCTGCTACGGCTAGAATTCCCAATGGTAATCCTTGGCATTTCTGAGCAATTTCTTTCCCAATAACTTCTAGCTCTGGGGGGCAACTTTCTTCCAAGAACACTTTGTGACGCAGCAGCTCCCAACTGTCATTTAGACTCAGGAAACTCATGTGATGATGATGGCTGTCCAGATTTACACACATATTGACATCTATTAGTCGACTAGTCAACACTATTCGACTTCCATTCCTGTCATCTGGGAAAGATCTTCTGAGATCATACAAGATCTTACCATCCCATACAGCGTCAAAAACTATAAGATACCTCTGACCCTTCAAAGTTCTATACAATAATTCAGCTAATTGCTCATTCTTTTCTTTGAAAATTTCATCACCAAGTCTGGTGAGGGAACACAAAAGGCCAAGTAACACGTCTCTCAGTACATATTTCTGCGATACTGTAACCCAAGCACGTACATAAAAATGATACTCAATCAAAGGATCATTAAATACCTTTCGAGCAAGGGTTGTCTTACCTATTCCACCCATCCCAACAATTGTAAGAATGTCCAGTTTATGTGGCAGTCCTGTAAGTTTCTCCTTGACTTTTAACAGATCATTGTCTATTCCCACGACAAGAGTTTCCTCTTGAGTTGAAGACCATCCTGATGCATGCTCCACCGAATGATTCCTAGCTCGCGGAACTTTGGTTGCAGCTGCATCTGATTCTTGGTAAATCTTTGTCAACATATACTTGATAGAATTTATCTCACTCAAAACCTCCATCATATGATGGTGAAGACTCAGCTCCTCCTCAAAGATAGCAGCATCATCCAGGGCCTCTGCTTTGATATACACAAATTCTTCAATAATATCTTCCGCTTTATTCGCCATGTCTCTTATGCATCTCTCCAGATGTTTCATCATGGTATGATCATAGTTCCTATCTGCAGAATCTTGAAGCATTTCTTGGATGACAGAAATCTCTTCAGATACAGCTTTAAACTGTTTTACTTCATCAAATGTGAATTCTAATTTGCAATTCATCTTGAGCTGGTCTAATGTTTGCTTGAGGGAAGTGATAGCAACATAAGCCATCACTCTTTGTACATGGACATAGATACATTTCCAGAGGGTATAGCACAAAGAAGCAAAGTCTTCTCTAGACTTTGTTTTTACCCTTTTAGTGCTTATTTAGATCCAAACACTTTTTATCATCAGACCAGCACTTTAGACTCGTGGGTCAGGGAACAGAAATATGGTAGTACTGTGCTATATTGTTGCTTCCTTTCACACGAGTGGTTCAGTAGTTTTTGTCCGCACCATGAAGATATCTTTCAGAATCTGCTGTCAAATTGGACCAAGGATGGAAGGAGGTAAAGAAGAGAGTAGTCAAAATTCCACACAAGCGGTCTCCAATGTTCCCAAATAAAAAGGAAAAAAAAAAGAAGAAAGAGTTGTGCACAGAATGTACCCGATTCGTGACTAGGTATGTAATCGAGCTGAGTCGATACTCGAGCTCGACTCGACCTATAAATAAGTCGGCTCAAACTTGATCGAGTTGAAAAATCTCAAACTCGAGCTTGACTTGAGGAAATCTTTAAAAATTCGAGAATCGACTCGATAAGACTCGATATTTAGTCAAGCCTTATCGGGTCGAGTAATCAAGTTTTTTGACTCGATACCTTACTTGTAAATTCAATTTAAATTATACCCATAACGGTCATTTTATAATTATAATACATATATATTATTTAAATTATATGTATTATTTAAATTGTATGGCTCGACGAGCTATTCGTCAAGCCACGAGCTGCAAAATTCTGACTCGAACTCGACTCGAATGTGTACTCGAGTAGCTCGAGACTCGGCTCGAACTCGATTCGATCGAGTTCAAGCCAAACCATTGAGTAGTTCGGCTCGCGAGTAGTTCAGCTCGCTTACATCCCTATTCGTGACGCGCTATGAACTAAAGCATCATTGTTAGGCGACTTGTAATTTAGGGCAAATTACACTTTACCCCCCTATGGTTTAGTATTTTTTGTACATAATCCCCCTATGATTTCAAAAGTTATACACAACTCCCTCATGGTTTGAATTAAAGTGTCAAAATAATGAAATTTACAATCCATAATGGAGTCACCTAAAATGTCAAAAATATCCCTATGTAAAGTTGAAAATTATTTATTAACTACAAGGGGGTTATCTATATATTTTGAAAACTATAAAGGGGTTATGTGGTAAAACATAAAACCATATGGGGCTAGTGAGTCATGTATATTATGTTTATATATTTTGGTCACTTCAACTATTTTAATTTTTAAACAAGGGTAATTTTAATATTTTCAAAGGTTTTGTTACGAATTATCATTCCATCACTTTGATACTTTAATTCAAATCATACTGAAGTTATGTATAGCTTTTGAAAGTATACGGAGGTTATATACAAAAATACTAAACTGTAGGGGATAAAATGTAATTTGTCCTGTATTTTATAGTCGCCTTGTGTGTTGGTGGCAGTGCCTTGACCTCGGAATATACCTATCTCATCCCAAACTGTCCTCTTAAACATTTTCTTCTCCAGAATATAATATATACTAGTCATAACTCAACGTGCAAAAATATATTTTCCAAAATTATACTTTCGACATTTTTAAAAGTTCCGTTACGAATGAAAATTCCTGTCACTTTGACACTTTAATCCAAACCACGAGGGGGCTATGTATAACTTTTGAAACTATAGAGAGGTTGTATAAAAAAAACACTAAACCATAGGGGGTAAAGTGTAATTTGTTCTTTTTATAATTATTGATAATTTTTTAAGAGTGATCTTATATATATTGACAGTGTATACAGTGTCAGTTTTGGATAAATAATAATTATGCAAAATTTGAATTTAAAACCTAACTTTTACACATAATGTCATGGATTTAATGGTGATAATGTATATACTGTCAATGCATATAAGATTTACTCTTTTTTCTTTGGAGTTTTCTAATCAGTATGACATAATATAGTGAATTTAATCATCAATGTAACCTTTATTTTCTCATTAACTATTTATAATCTTTTATCTTCTTATTAATCGTAATTTTCTTCTAAACCAAAGTGTACATAAAACAAAGTTAATTGGTCAATTGTTTAGCACATAACAATAATTGGGCTAATTCTTTAGATTATAGCAAAAAAAAAAAAAAAAGGTCAATTACACTGAAAACTTGTGTTTCCATACTATACCTACACTGCTGATGAAACACGACAGGGTAAGCAAAAAAATTTTTTTTTAATGGACTAAGCACGGCAGCCAATGATTATGCACCTAAGCACGGCACCCAAACCTTTTCTTACACTTTGGGGAAATTTTGATGGGTCATGTAAGTTAGGGGTTCTAACGTTTCCGGAAAAAAAAAAAGTAAGTTAGGGGTAACTTTCCCGTAGGGGTTTCCCTACTAATTTTTCCGTAGTCCCACATCGATTCTAAGGGATTTGAGGGTTGGGTAGTTAAGTTCCCAAATTTGCCTCAAGAGTTGCCGGCTTTTGGGGTTAAATTTGGGATTAGATTTAATTAACTAACTTCAAAAGCCTGATAAAAAAAAAGTAAGTTAGGGGTAACCAATTCCCAATAGAGGAGTTGACCACCATCAAGTCTTTAAGGTTTGATGGGTAATCTTGTCTCCCACTAATTGCCATGGTAGTTCAGTTTTCGTCGGCCTCCCTCATAGGCCCAGTTAGATCCCCTAAAATAGGATAGCGTAGACAAATACCTAAGTGTCGGAAAAAAAAAAAAAAAAAGTAAGTTAGGGGTAACCCTTTGATCCCTTTTGTCTCCCGCTGTACGTACAACTGCAACAGCCAGGAACATTTTGGTGCGTAACCAAAATTATTATTCCTTAGATAGCGAAGTGAACGACCAGTCCCTTTTTGGGATTTCTTTCATTTTTAATTGGGGCTAATAAAAGAAATTCTGGAGATGGACGATGAATTTTAAATTTTGGTGTGGATTGGAAATGGTAATTAAATACAGGCTCCAGCAACCTCCTCAACAATTTGCCTCCTGTGAGAATCTTCTGACTGCATAACTTAGTGGTACGAGAAGGAACCAGAGTCATAGGAGAGCACATGTTAAGGATTGGAGAACTAGAGTGCAGAGAAATTAGCTTTTCTGCAAACATAGACAACAGGGAGGAAACCAAGCTTTGCTTTTGTGTGGATATGAAGCTGCTAATTGGTTGAGAACCTCCAATGGCAATAGGGAAATGGTTGGTGAATATAATTGTAAATGGATAATTTTAATTTTAATTACCAATATTTTTGAAATATTATTTATTAAAACAGTTTATTTTTCCTTTTAATGTCATGATTGAGATACAATAACTCTAATTAAAAAATATGAGGGTAATTTATTTAGGTATAACAAAAACTAAAATCAATATATGTTTACACTCTTTACACTCTCTATTGCCAAGATTCATCACAATTTTTATATAGTAATAGTATTGATGATGATATAAAATAAGGAAAAAGGGAAAAAAAAGTTCTAATCTTGACCTGAGAGGAAATTAACTGTGTGGACAAGATTTATGCAAATTTTGATAGGTGAGATTAATTGTGGCTCCAGTCAAGTACAAACCTTTCTTTTTGTCGCAGATCGGGTTGTGGAGTCGGAGCATAGAGCAGTTGTGGGGCTGCAGACTTCGACTTCGAATCCATTTCATAACGGGGAATTCACTGATCCAGAGTTTGAGGATGACCATTCCATTCAACCAGCAAATGGCGCATCCACAGAGGCTGCATCGAAAGAGAAGACGATGGAGACTGGCGACTCCTCCAAAGTTTCTTTTTCACTTGGACATTTTGTCAAACATGTGGTAGGCCTGATTTTAGCTCACATGTCTCTTGAACTTTGGCCGAATGTAAATCCCAAAATTTTTTTGCCAACAATCAAAGGATGAAAAGAAAAAACAATGGATGATAAGAAGAAGCTCTGTTAGTTGTTCAGAAGAAGCAAAATCAGTGTTTTAGATAGGTAGATCTGAAAGACAGAGACGTAGGCATGTGTCATTGGCCAAATTTGACGTAGGCATGTGTCATAATGCAATCACTTGATTTGCTGAATGCTCAAATTAGTGTAATCATACTCATCCAAAATCATTTTCTTCCCATACCATATGAATAAGTTGAGCTGATTCAACCAACACAAGACAAAAAAAAAAAAAAAAAAAACCTTTCATTTTGTGTTTTTTAAGGTTAATTTGCCAATATCTGCAATCATCTATCTTTCTATCTTTCAAGACATGGCATAACGTCATTGTCTGTTTTTTTAATCATACCTTTCATTGTAAAACAAATTATGACAAAGGAAATGGACATCCGAACTCCTTTGTTATTCATTAAGAACATTTCCAGTTTCCAACTATAAATTGAGTTTTTATGCCTCGCATTAAAAGATGACCATATCCCTCTACCATGCTTCAATTTTCATATTACTAATCAAGAGTATTAGGCAAAGGAGAGTTTCCTCCAACAAACTACACCACCTTAAGTTTAGTATGAATATTCCTTCAGGTTCATAATTGGAAACTGTTCTTTTTGCTTTATTTAGCTCTAGTTTAGTAATAAAATATAGACAAAGAAAAATTACGTAAGCCTTAGTTACTTGCATATCAAAATAAAAGAAAAGGCGAGTTCTTCTACTATTATTAGGCTATTGTTCAATATTTTCACCTTGCGAAAGTTATCCTTAGTGTTTGGGTTTTGCACTCTTATTCAAATCTAATCAAGGTCAAATTTGGGTTAGATATATATAAATTAAGTAGTATTTTAGGGTCGAATGTTCTATACCTTTCCCTTAAATTATTTAGTGATTTCATAATTTAGATTTCATGAATGCTACCATTCTTGATTTTTTGATGCACGACACTATTTCTTTTTTGTTTCCTATTTAATTTTGCCCTTTTACTTAGGATTATTAAGTTAAAAGATAAAATATTATCATTTACTTTTTTACTTTTACTAAGTTTGGCATTGTTTTCTCTTTATTTACCCTCCCACTAATAAACTTCAAGCCAAGTTTCTATATAGGTAGAGTCACTTCTTGCTTATTTAAATTAGAAAGGCATGAAAGCCACTTTTTATTTAGGAAAATATTATTTGCACTCCATTTTTTATTATTTGCAATTCCACCATTTGTTTTATCATAAAGTTTAATTAATGAAAACTATATGATCAAAATCATTATTGAAGTGTGAATAACAAAAAATGGAAGTGTAAATAATATTTCGCCTTACTTATTTAAATTAAGAAGGCATGAAGGATGTTATACTTGTTATCTTTTTTTATGGTCTTATAAAAGTCTTAATTGGAGTAGAATCGTAAATAACACATGGCAATCGGGAACGTGATGAGTTGAAGTTCAAATAGGATAACATGCACATTAACTAACAATTTGTAATGAAATGATTTTAAAAAGTAACAAACAATTTCAAATGTGAAGAGTAGATGCGGAAGTTGAGAAAATATATTTTATAAATTAAATTAAATATGAATTGCAAGAAAAATGGAATTGAGAGCGGGACGATGTGTGGAGGATTGGTGCTAAAAATCCCTTCCCAAATTTATATAGATATAGATACTTTCGTGTGTGTCAAAAACGATGTTATTCCTAATTTTGCAAAACACCCATGTAAAATTTATATATAACATAAATATCTACAAACAGTTACTCATCCATATATTGACCATCAACAATACTAATAATAAAATTTTTATTTTCGTAACAAAATTGTACTATGTTAAATCACTTATTTTACAAGTCATTTACAATAAATAATTGGTACATGTTGGATACATAATAGTGAAATTGAAACTAGATACGATGATAAGCACAATTAGTATAAGAATGGGACTAACTCTGCATCGATTATCAAGTACTTTATCAATTATTTTGGAATTTTGTCAGACACTTGTGATTTACTCTCGATGTATATTCACATCTTTCATAATCATTTACATGGAGACAATAACAACAATCAATTCTTTGGAGATTACCAACAAACCCACATTTGCGACACTTAAATTGACAGTTTTGCGTCATGGAATAGTACAAAGTTCTTTGAATGAGAGTATTACCTTCTATATATCTATGATTTAACATCCTGTGTAGTAATAATAATTTAAGAAAATTATGGAGAGCATTTCATAAGTAAGATAACTAACGAAACCAAAATGAATATTGTTGTATACAATATACTCATACTTTAAATTTCCCCCTTTTAGGTTTGACACCATTATAATCTCACCTTTTGGGAAGATATTGCTCAAAATGAAGGACAAGAACTACAACTAATTGCTAATGACAAGCCAGTCGTGGCAATTAGAAGAGTAACAACCAATATTTACTTAGGTGCTCTCATGAAATTTTCTACTTAACCAATTGAGATACTTTCATTTTTCACATGATAATATCATTTTTTTTTATTTTCTTTACAGGCGAAATACAACTTCAAACCACTACACTCTCCACATTGCATATATAACCGAAATGCCCGGAAGCAGAAAAACTGAAAATATGGTAAATATTCTATTTACTCCAAAACAATCTTACAATTCATAATATTATTCAATTTAAGCTCATTATTGTCAACTAACATATACGTGCATCACTTAGGTTGAAAAACTCTACCGAAGCAACAAAAATTGAGGAGCTTTCCATGAAGAAAAAAATCAATCAAGCAGTAGAAGCCAAGCTTAGCAAGAATGCAAGATACTTGAAGATCCAGCATCCTTAATTGAACTAAACAAATTATTCATTTCATTAAATTCAGGGTAAAAAACAAAAAAGCCCCTTGTGGTAAACCTAATACACAGAAAAATCCCCCATGGTTTCAAAATATACAACACGACCCCTCATGCTTTGAAATAAATTGTAAAGGTGACGGAATCCATTAAACTTAACGGAAATGGACGAAATGACCAAAATGTCCTGATATAAATAAGCAAAAGACAGCTCAAAAAAATCATTTGTTTTATTCTCTAAGTAGAGAGAATTGAGGGTTAAGGGGTAGAATATGTATATTTAATAAAAATTAGGTATAAATTTTTTTATTAAGTTCCAATAAGTCATTTCTGTTAAGTTTAACGAATTCCGTTGACAGGTGCCGAACCTGTGCAATAATAAATACCTGCTTAAATAAAATATAATTTCTGTAGATAGTGATAAGTAGGGTCGAATCCACAGGGATTGGGGATAATTTATTTCTTTTAGAGTCCGAAGTATGGGGGGTTTTTGGAGAATATAAAATAACTAATTAACTAACTAATAAAACAACTAATAGAAATTAATCAATAACCAATATGACTCTAGTCGAAGGTACAACTTTTCAGACACGGTCCATGCAACTGATCATCGACGCAAAGATAATTCAATTACTCATTAATAGATTGGTTATAGTTGCCATACACGCGATGAACAACCAGCCTTTCCTTAATTTCTCGATAGTTAAGGTACGACCGTTAACTATTTCTCTAACCAAGAAATAACCCTAGGTACGACCATAGGATTTAATTACTTGACTGCATTAATAATTAGAAAAGCCCAACCCTAACCAACAAACACGCTACGAGGGTTTGTTTAAGTTAGATCATACGTTTCCCTAACATGAAACCAATCACGCTAGTCGCCACTGGTATTAATCGATAGAACAATTACGGATTCAATCAATTAATATGACAGTAGATTATTAGGTTAATTCGAATATCGGGCCCTTGACATTCAAATAACAAAACAATCATAAACAATTAAATCAGGAAACGTACAAATACCAATAAATAAAAGAAATAAATAAAATAATTAGATCTCACAGATGTTCGGAATCGAGTCCTCTCAAATTGACCTTCGACTAGAAAAAATGAATTAGTTCATCTTCATGGAGGAAATCCCATGCAAAATTGCAGAAGTAATTATTCTAAAACAAAGCTATGTTTCCGTCCTCCCCCTCTAGAAGAAAACGGCAAAGCTATATATAGTCATGAATACAAAGGAACTAGCAAGAACAAAAACAAAACGAAGCTCTCCTATTCTAAAACAAAAACTACTACTCGTCTCGTGGTCCCCACGAATAAGGAACAAGCCACAAAATCTAATGCCTTTCTTCTCCTCTGTACGTTTGTTTCCTTAAAGCCAAAAGAAATGACTCAATGCTATCTATCTAGTGGTCCCTACCGAATTGAGAGTCCAAAGCCAAAGAATTGGAGCTCTGCGAAGTCCTTGATTTTAGTTTCCTCTTCGTAGGAAAACTTCTAATCAGCAAAAGAGATGCAATCCGTCTGTGGCACCTTGTGGGCCCGGGTTTGTGAAGCTCTTTGGAGTCTCCCACGTATGGAGCAATTTTTCTCAACAGGTCCTCCTTTTTAGTATATTTCAGTTCAACTTCCCTGTAGATAGGTCCAAATACCAAATATAAGTATATATTAACAATTTAAACAATATTTGACAAGAACAAAGGGGAAAATTAACAATAAAATTACTAACAATTAGCAACCTATCATCCGTCACCTTTATAATTTAGTTCAAAATATGAGGTGTTGTGTTGTACATTTTGAAATCATATGTGGCTTTTCTGTGCATTAAACTTGCTACAGGGGATTTTTTTTTTTTTGTTTTTTACCCTTAAATTCATTCTATTTAACCACTAAAGAGCATTATAATCTTGCAGAACAAACAATATTGGTTTAGAGCAGCAATTGATGACGTGGAAAACATCTCTAATCCTTGGTACAACGCATGCACAAAGTGTTACAGGACAATCATTAACACGCCTACCGTACTAGAATGCCAGAAATTGTGGAACTCATGCCATTGAAGATATACTCAAGTAATTAATATTAAAATAGTATTATATGATTTAAATAAATATTACTAATTCTTGATCGCATACAATATAGGTATAGATTAAACATAAATGTCAGAAATGATAGCTACCATGCAATAGTTATCCCATTCGAAGATACAGCAAAGGTCTATGTAGGATGTCTAGCCAGAGAATACAAGGAATCAACGGAAAAGCTACGCCCAAAAAACCAACAATATCTACTCCATTTACATCTTTCATGAATCTTACACAATGCATCCAACATAATTTAACAGGATAACACAACATCAAAATACTACGTACATCAACTTGGAGTTGGCCAAGTTCAATGAATCAGAGTACAAATTCTTATTCAAGGAGTTGAGTCTGCTAATGGAATCGTAAAGCTCATTGCAGAGGCGATAGAAAAAGTTACTCCAAAGGAAAAAGATGCTAAGGAAGCGAGAAAGTTGCGATCAAAAAAGCAAAAACAAAACAAATCCACAAAAAAACGCAACCGTGAAGATTTAGAGATCATTGATGATGATGAGAAAATTATCAACCTTTTGAAAAAGCCAAAGAACAAAAAGAAGATAGTTTGAAGAAATTTCTTTTCATGCACATTACTTTGAATTCTGTTTTTTAATTATCCCTTACTACAACTTATTTAGTTACTTTATCTTATAAACTTGTATAATTATATCAAGAATTGTTACACAACTTGATGGCAATTTCTTTTTTCATGGACAGCTGAAGTCTTCGAAATTTCTTTTCATGCACATTACATTATAACACACACGTGCAATTTACTAGTAATTCTCTTTATTGTGCGTGTTTATTTTCCTTCGGCAAACCCCAAATCCTAACTGCACCAAACTATCCAAGACGTGGATCAATCCCTTGTATCTACTCTCTGCTATCATTTGTTTTTGGTGTCACACATCTCATTTTTGGGATGTGATACAAGTTTTGTTACAGTGGAAAATTCTTCCATTTTTAAGGTGTGTTTGTTACGGTAGAAAACATCTAATTGACTTGAGTTTCATACCATACATTTAACTGATGACACCTTTACCTCCAAGATAAAAGATGGCAAATTCACATAATTAGAAGTGAATCATTATATGATCCTGAACTGCTGCAGCTTTATCGAGATCAGACGAATCAGTATCTCTAGTTTAGCATCCTTGGAAACTTTGGCAGAGGGAAAGTTAATCCTACTATAGAAGAGTCTGATTAAAAGAGGATGTGAGATGTGGTATGTAGTAGCAGGTAAATATTTGACACTTTTCAACTTTGGAATATAGGCCATCACACTTTAATCCCATCTAAGGCATCATCGACTATCATTCTATTTCTTGGAAGCATAGCTGAAAATATTGACTGTTTTTGTTTTTGTTTTTGTTTTTGTTTTTTCAGCATCAATCAACAACAACAAAAGTTTCACCATTACAAGTTAAGCCACTACTTTCAACTTATTGCCGTAAGAAATCAAACTTCAACATAAAGGGAGCTCTACTTAAAAGGCCACTTCATGAGCCACATTCAGGCCTCTGCGTACAATAACGGGTCAAAGATTTACTACATATCTTTGTTAAGAAAAAAGCAGAATCCCAATAATGAAAGCTTCTTAGTCTCAATATATTCATAAATAATGTCAAGGTTCCTTCTTTTTCATGGATTCAAAACTGAATAATGACATTTTCTGTCGTAGCATCAACGGCCAACGTAGTTGTAGAGACGCTCACCATTCTAAATTGAAGCTAATTGCTCTTTGAACACCACTACTATTGTTGGGTTCTACGTCCAATAAAGACTTCCAACCAAAAATCTCAGGTTGCCACTTTGTTCCAGTCCTCTTCATGATCACAACTTTGACATCCTTTAGATGGTTGTACCAAAACTTAATTTCTCGCCAATGAATCGATCTCTCCAACAGTAGATAGTAGACAAAATCTGTGAACTGAATAGTTTTATTATGACAACACCTTTGCCAGATAACTTTAGGACGGCAACTCCAAAAGCATCCATCTACAAGTGCTGGACCCGCACGAGCTTCAATTCCTAGTGCTGGAGCTTCTATGGATAACATTTCAATTTCAGGTCCCGGTTTTACTGCTTCACCTCTAATATCAGGTTACAGAACTGGGACCCACATGTCTAGATAAATTTTTGAATGGATCAAATTCGTTAACTTATCTCTCAATTTGGCAAACCATGAATTGTCAATCTGGTTGTTAAGTGGGAACAAACAGATGAATTCTCGATTCCCAATTACTTGAGGAAGCAGTAAACCTACACGGGGGATGCTGGCGCCCATACATGCAAAACGAACAATATTTGGAGCATCAACCTGCAACTCCTCCAATTTTTTGTTAAACTTCAACTGAATGAGTTTCAGAGACTCGCTAGAAATTTTGACAGTGTTTAATAGATCACAAGAAGTAATCTTTAAATCCTCAACGTGTGGCAACTTAGTCCTAAAATGATCAAAAAAATTGTCACTGATGCCAATATGATCGAAAACTAAAAGCTTAAGATTAGTGAATTTACTCATTCGGGGCATGTTGTCATGAAGATATCCAACACCCTCACGAGTCAAGGATTCCAAATTCGGCACATCAATTTCAACACTCTGCTCTTGATTATAGTAGACAGACAATTCTTTGAGTTTTGCAAGATTGTTCAGCTGAATCGTTCTTAACTTCAAACATCGGAAAATATTCATAAATTCCATCTGTCTGCAGCTTGAAAGGATCTTCTGCAGCATTTCATCACTTAGATTTACATACTTGAGAACCAGTCGCCCGAAGGTTGCTACACATTACACCTCCTCTAAGTTGGTGCTCAAAGATGCACCCTTGCAGAAACAAATCTTCAAGGGACTTTGTCTCAAGAATTGTCGGAGGCAATATGTACGAAGAAAACACAACAGAGAGATGAAGCTTTTTCAGGCCATTTCCAGCAGCAACTTTCATCCATTCATTCACAGATTCATTGTCAGATGAGTCATACCCAAGCCTCATCCGAAGCTTGAATGTATGTATCCCAATCTTCTTTTCCTGGTAATTTAGCAAAACCTTGTCCACAAAAACCCGGAACATATGTTGTTTACGTTTTCGTTCATCAGGAGTTACAAACTCTCTTTCGAAGTAAGGTTGCTCGAAAGTTAGAACTGGACATGTTTGCCATCCAGTCAACCATGCCTTAGACAATAATCTTGCTTGGGCTGCTTCTTTAGCTGAGAGGAAATTGCAAAGTATGTGTTGTATAATTTCTTCTGGCAATTTTGATATCCCTTCTTCTTCCATGTATGCCCTCCTTGCCAAATCAGTAAAATCCCAATTGAAGTCCTGCAGGGGAGAGGTAGCGATGAAAAAATTGGAAAAAGGAAAAAGCGAAACTTTTGTTAACAAGAAAAACCAAGACAGGTGGCTGGATTAATTACAGAAGAGCCAATATAGAACCTAAGAGACAAAAGATCTCGAACCAAAGCTGGAGAGAACCAATAATAATCACAGGGGTTATATGTAATTTATCCTTAAATTTTTTAAAGCAATACAAGTGTCAATTTTTGTGTCATCGTGCAAGGTACGAAATACCTACAAAATATCAAATATAAAGTTCTTTAAATCTAGATACTGTAACTCCAAAATTAAACCATGTTTTCTATTACCAACTTATTCAGTACAATAAAAACACAATTGCATTGACATGGTCTTACATTGTGGAAAATTATTCACGTATGAAGCTGTGTAGATATTGGAAAGGGCAAATTTCAATTTATCTCCCTCTGGTTTAGTATTTTTTTTACATAACCCCCTATTGTTTCAAAAGCCCTCATGATTTGAATTAAAGTGTCAAAATAACGAAAATGATCATTCGTAATGGAATCGTCTAAAATATCAAAAATACCCTTATGTAAAGTTAAAAATTATTTATTAATCAAGGGGGGTTATGTGTATATTTTGAAAATCATAAGGGGGTTATATGGTAAAACATAAAAATCATACGAGGTTAGTGTGTCATGTATTTATAACGGTAATTTTGACATTTTAAAAGTTCCACTACGAATGACTATTTTCGTCACTTTGACACTTTAATCCAAATCATGAGGGGATTATGTATAGTTTTTGAAATTATAAGGGGGTTATATAAAAAAAATGTTAAACTGGGGATAAAATGTAATTTGCCCTATTGGAAAAGCTGTGTAGTCATACGACGGAAGCTACTTCATCAAGTTAAAGCCTTTGGGTGCCTAACAAAGTTGACTTAAATGGCAAGCCTATTTGCGACTTTTGGATATATTTCCAGAGGAAATCATTGGAAGTTCAAAGAATTTGCAGCATTAATATTGGGATTAATCTGTATGCAGTTTCAATCAAAATTAAAACAAAAATAGTTAAAGAGAAATAATGTAGATTTGATTCTAAATATTTAAGGGTTATTGGGTAGCAATTTAGTCCACAAATCTTGCATGAGATATAGAAAAAAAAAAATTAAACTAGCTTGCTCCTGTAAATAAAAGTACTATACCATTGTACAAAAGAGAAACATTTTTTAACTTGTCCATCCATTACCAAGTTTTTATGGATAAGAGACGAGGAAAATCTCTTAGCTTTCCAGAGCTTGACTAGTATTTGCACAGGGATTGCTACTTGCAAGTGATAATCCGTGGCATTCTTCTACTATCTTCTCTCTCTTGTCACTTATGTAATTTTTACAAAAATTTTTACTTCTAATGCCAAAGTGAAATCATGATTAATTACCTGTTAAGATTACATGGAGTCAAGTACTTAAATTAATATGCATAAATAAATTAGAGTAAATTTTATATACACTGATAGTGTATACACTATCACGGTTGGACGTATGACACATATGCAAAATTTAGGTTTCAAATTCAAATTTAAATTATGTGTCATGTATCCAATGGTAAAAGTGTATAGACTGTCAGTGTATAGAGGATTAATCCAACAAATTAATACTGCAATTTATTTTTTGTGAATACATATAAACTTTTTATTGATGTAGAACTCGGAGCTTACAGGAGGAGGACTAATCCTCAGATTACATTTACATTTGGAGATACCATATTTCGAAATGTAGGCACAAAAAGACACAATAAAACTAGTAATATTCCTTCTCAAAACACCTGGAAGAAAGTCTCCTTTCTAAAACCACATCCCATAATAGCACTAACAACTTGAATGGTTATAGGCATAGCACACTGAAACACAACAAAATACAAATGTTAGTAAGTGTTCTCTAAGGAAAAAGAAAACCCCTTTCATCCTCCATTGCTCATTGGATGCAGAATAAACACTTTCCAAAGACTCAGAATATTTTTGTTTCTGTACATATTATGGTATGAAAAAAAAAAAAAAAAAACATGAACGCATGATTAGGAGTTACTTACATTTAATTTATGTAAGACAAATTGGTTCAAGTATATAATTATGTCTTTCGCAGCAAAGAAAAAAATTAGAATTGACATTTCAAACATTGTTGCTATGAAAATTTATTTTGATGCTTGACAGGGATGTAGAAGTAGAATTTTTTATTTGAATGGAGGTTATGTGGTATGTATCCGAATATGCTAGTATTAGAAAAAAATAATGTTTGGACTTGCAAGAAATATTAACAAAAAAATTTATATGATTATATCCACTATCTTACTATTTCTATAGAAATTTTGATATCTTAGATCAAGAAACTATAGATAATAATATTCAATCCTGATTTTCTATTTAAGCACTCGGATTCATTTGTTCATAGAGGATTATAGCATAACTAAACCTACATGCTTAGTTTTGAGCACTTATGTGCTTATTATCAAATGCAAGTAATTATGGATAACCAGCTAATTGAGTTGTGGTACCTTATTGCAGAATAAGAAAAAACAGAATATAAGTGCTTTTGTACATATACTTACTCAATGGAAATTCCTCCGTAGCCGAGCAGTCTTCAATGCGATCATAACCCAAATTCTGTCATAGGCATTTTCCAAAAATCTGAAGAATGCATCGCGCCATGACTTTGATAGAGCAATTATTGGGCACATTTTGCACTGTTATTTTGTCATAATTTTGGCTACTTACTGTGCTAAATATTGAGATTTTGCTAATATTTCATATTTGTATGAATTATAGGTGATTGGTGTAAAAAGTGTTTTCACGAGGCAAATATCCAGAAGACTCTCTATTTCATGGCGTGCCCATGCCAGAAACTGAAGAGTTACACCTAAAAACCGGACACGCGAGATTGGTTGCAGCGCAAAGTGGGCAATTAGGAGGTTGGGTCCACGTGAACCAGACTGATAGGTTATAATTTGTTACTACATTTATAATTATTTTTTCCCTTGATTTTAGCCAAATATTGTTTTAATTGTCGGATTCTACTTATATTTGATTAATGGTGCCAATTGTAGGAAAAAGGAGCAAAACGTGATTAAAAGTGGCAATTTTCCAATTCATTGGATGGTGGCACGTTTGGGGTTGGTTTCCAAGTCCGAGTCGAATTCAAAGCAATTTTTGAAGGAAGATTTTGAAGATTTTAATCTTCATTATTAGTTTTAATATTGGATTAGAAAACTTGGAATATTTTCTTTTATGGTTTCTTTTCCTATTTAGGAGATTAGTTTTATTTGCTAGTAGACTTCAATTAGGAAACAAAAAATAATAAGGGAAGCCAGATTCCCGTTTGATTAGGACTTCTGCCAAAAAAACAAGAAAAAGAGCCGTGACTCTTTGGGAAAAGGAGAAGGCCGGATCCCGCGTGATTAAGAGTGGAAGGCAGCAACAAATTCGGGAGGAACAATTCGGCTGGGACTTAGGTCTTTGTACTTTTCCTTTTTAGCCGACCTTGGGGAGGACAATTGCTTTGATTTTGATTTTCGTCTTTTACTTTTCTTCCTTGGCCGATTTGGCCAGGAACAATTTGGTAAGATTCAGATAGCTTTTTCGCATGGCTGTTCTCCATTAATGGAGGACTAACCTCCTAATTCTAGTCAAGGGACAACTGAAGATTTGGTTCTGCAATTACTGTGAGATCGAATTTACTTTAATCGCTTCCTCATTTGTTGATATTTATATATTCCCTGCTTTTAATTACTATAGCTCGTGTGAATGATTGATTAGTGTGCAATAATTAATTCTTCATATAGGCTATTTTGCTAGTTAGGGGTAATTGAATCCGTAATTGTTCGTTATCCCTATCTCAGTAGCAACTGGCGTAATTGGGTTTATGTCAGGAGAACATACGATCTAGCTTAAACAAATCCTCGTAGCGTGTTTGTTAGTTAGGATTGGGTCTTTCTAATTATTAATGCAAACCAGAAATTAAATCATACGGTCGTACCTAGGGTTGTTTTTGGGTTAGGAAAATAGTTAATGGTCGTACCTTGACTATCGATAAATTAAGGAAGGGTTGGTTGTTTATCGCGTGCATGACAACTATAACTGATCTGTTAATAAATGTTGGAACTATTTTTACATCAATGATCAGTGCATGAACCATTTCTGAAATGTACCCTTGGCTAGAACTCTCCTAATTATTTTTTTTAATTAATTACTTTTCTGCATTTAATTCATTTAGTTAGCATTTAATCTTGAAAATCCCCATTTGTCCTGACTCGAAAAGAAATAAATTTTCTCGCTAGTCCCTGAGGAGACGACCCTGCTTACCACTGTCTACTAGCTAGTGAATTCAGTTAAATAATTAATTCAAATATATCGGATTAAGCAAACTCTTCGGGAACATGGTGAATCAAGTAACCCATTGCACACCTAGAGTCCCTGCTCCAGTACTAGAATTGATTATTGACTGTTTCAGGTGGTAGTTAGGTTTTATTTATTATTATTGCACAGGTTCGGCACCTGTCATAGACGCATGGGAATAAAACCCAAAAAAAGCAAAGCTTTGCAGCGACTCTTTGTGAATTGCTCCTGGCGGCTACAAAAGGCCAAAAACAAAAAGAAAGCGAGATTCACATTTTAATTGATAGATTAGCTTTTAGCTTTTGCTTTTTAGGGTCAGACGTCTTCTTTTTCTTTGGACTTTTCGCACTAGCTTTAGACAATTGGGGAGTAGTTTTCGTTTGTGAACCCTGGAAGACGAATTGAAGTCTGCCGTCTTTGTTTCATTTATCTGAGACGCCTGTCGTGAGACAGGGGCTTTTACCTTTTGCTTTGGTACAAACACGAAACAAAGTGAAGCTAGAATTTTTCTTCGGGTCCGTTGTTATTCCGTCTCTCCCAGATTATTGATAAATAATTGGATGATATCAATTAAATCACGGTAGAGTGATATGATGAGAAGCGGCTAGTTTTCTCCTCTACCCAAAGGTCGACGCGAGGGCGCGGTTCATAACATCTGTGAGATCCAATCGAATTTTTATTATTTCTTTCAATTCATTATTATTCATGCGTTTCCTAGATTAATTGCTCATGAGTATTTTATTAATTGAGTATCAACGGCCAGATATTTAATTTAATATAATAGCTTACTGCCACGTTAATTAAATTGAATCCGTAATTGTTCGTTTAGTTGATAACTAGTGGCAACCATCATAATTGGTTTTATGTTGGAAAAACGTAAGATCTGGCTTAACTAAACCCTCTTAGCGTGTTTATTGGTTAGGGTTGGGTTCTTCTAGTTTTAATGCAACTGGATAATTAAATTTCTACGGTCGTACCTAGGGTTGTTTTCTGGTTAGAGAAACAGTCAATGGTCGTACCTTGACTGTCGAAAAAGTAAGGAAGAACTGGTTGCCAGAGTTTGTTGATAACTATAACCAATCTAGTAATAAGTAATTGAATTATCTTTGCATCGATGATCAGTTGAATGGACCGTGTCTGAAAAGTTGTACCTTTGGCTAGAGTCGTATTGGTTATTGATTACTTTCTATTTATTTCTATTAGTTGCTTTATTAGTTAGTTAATTAGTTATTTCATATTATCCAGAAACCCTCCATACTTCGGATTCTAAAAGAAATAAGTTATCCACAGTCCCTGTGGATTCGACCCTACTCACCGCTATATACAAAATCTGTATTTTTCTCAAGTAGGTAATTATTATTGCACAGGCTCGACACCTGCCAATTTTTGGCGCCGTTGCCGGGGACTGGTGCCTGATTAATTTGTTTCTTTTTGAGTTTATCTTGTTTTTATTTTTTTTATTTTTATTTTTTTTATGGTTGCTGACATTTCGTATTTTGGTGATAGACTGAATTTTATTTCTACGAAAGGAAATGAGGCTTGTGTTTGTTCTGATGATCAATATTCAGATTCACTAAGCTTTCTTATAGACAAAATGGCTGCTGCAACTTGTGGGATTTGTTATGCCACAGATCATTCAACCAGTATTTGTTTTGAATATCAAGATTACCTGAATGCATATCTCAATAAGTTTGAAAGTTTTTCACCCCAATCTCGAACGTGGCATGACCCTTATTCAAATAGGTATGATCAAAGATGGTGTGACAACTCCAATTTTAATTATGCACCAGAGCCAACCGATTTTCAACATCAATATCAACAGCAACAGCCATTGTCGATGTCAGAATTGCTCTCCCAGACTAACATCGACCTTGAAGAGGATGAGAGTGCAATTATCCTGACAAATGACATGGTACTGCAAGAGTTTCAAGAAGAAGAAACTAAAGATGCAGTTGAAAAGAAAGTTGAAGTGCAAGAATTGAGACCCCAACATCAAATGGTTCAAGTGGATGAATCCAGTGAACAATCTCCAAATGCGGTGACATTTCCTCCAGTCCTTAATCAATATTTACCTAACTCTTATTCTTGAATTCCTGTTAGTGAAATTGATTTTATTATACCAGAAGATTTTGGGTTTCATGACAGGAATAAGTTAAGAGTTACGATGAAAAAATATCTCGAACTAATAAGTGTTCGTGATGGAGGAGTAAGTGAAGAACTAATATTCTTATCGACTTGTTTAGAGCCAGCTACTAATCCAGGGAAGACCATACCTCATGTGCTCAAGGATTACTCTATTTACGAGAGATATCAGAGATACATAGAAGATGAAGCATTGAGACGAGCCACATGATTTTATCCTCCGTGAATAAACATGATGATGTCTAGCCAAAAACATTAAAGAAAGGCGTTGCTTGGGAGGCAACCCAAGGCTTCTTTTGTTTTAATTTTCTTATATTTTTGAAGTTTTTGTTAAGTATTAGTGTCATTTAGTGGGTTGTTATTTTGTGGCAAGAATCTGGCAGTTAGACATGCCCACGCTAGGTCGTCACACCTAAGAAATGAAGTTTTGGAATTGACGGTCAGAAGACTATAATTTCCAAGGCGTGCCCACGCCTTCCAACCCTTCCGATAACGAAAGTCAAAAAGAAAAAAAAAATTTCCTAGCCCCACTTTTCTAATTTTTTTTCTTCTTTATCCTGTCTTGTCTAATCCCTTTTCACTTTGTTTTAGCTTCAGTCTTCTCCTTCCTGTTCGTGTTGCGTCCGTCGCCGCCACTCCGCCTTGCGTCCGCCGCCGCCACTCCACCTTGTGCATGCAGCCGCCTCACCCTCCTCCACCTTAGTGTCTCGCTTTCCCTCCCCGGTGGTCAGGGATGTTTCTCTTCTTTTCTCCTAATACTTCATTTATCTTTTCTACATTGAGGACAATGTAGGTTTTAGGTGTGGGGGAGTGGCTTCCATTATTTCTTTTTGCTTTGTTACTCTAAAAAAGAAAAAAAACAAAAAACAAAAAATTGGAAAAAATGAAAAAAAAAATGAAAACATTGTAGTTAGTCGGCTTTTTGTTTATTTCTATGCTTGTTAATGCTGGAGCATGTTGCTGTGATGAATGACACAATCAATGTGCATGAGTATGTGGGTAAATATACTAGCTATGCATTTTGTTTTCCCTTGGCAGTGTTGTTGAGTGTTGAATATACTGGACTTGACCCATTTTTGAAACTTTTGGGAGCTTTTGAGCCTTATATGAGCACATTATTCTTGTTTGCTCTATTTTTGTTTAATTGAGTGGGTATCATGCATGGTATCGGCATTCTAGAACTTGCTATTTTGTACATGTCAAGACCACATTTTGTTGAATTGGATGCATTTGAAATGATAAGGGCATTTAGGATTTAACCTTCTTTGACTTTCTAAAAACCATGCCTTCATCTTGTCTCCCCGTAGTGAACCTATTTGAGTTTTTATCCTTCGCTATTGTTTGATTAGTCGTGTTTGATAACCCATGACCTTTTTAGACTTTCTTGTTTAATCTTGTGTCGTCAAGAGATGTTTGAATTCCGTTGTTTGTGCAAGGCAAATGAATCTAAGGTGACAAGTGTTGTCGGAATAGAAGTTGTATGGTGTTCTCTGCATCTGAGATAAAAAAAAAAAAGGAAGGGGGAGAAGTCGGCAATGAGCTGGTGGGCAGAAGACTCCAACCTGCAAGGCGTGCCCACGCCTTGCAAGACATCTGCTCCATTAAAAAAAAAAGAAAAAAAAAGCTCGTGAGCAGAAGACTCCGGCCTACAAGGCGTGCCCACGCCTTGCAAGCCGCTTGTTCAAAAAAAAAAACAAAAGAAAAAAAAAAGAAAAGGGGAAGAGTTTCGACACTTGCACAGTGAAAATGGCAAATGAAAATGCCTTGCTCGTGAAATTTCTGTGATGAAGCGTTGTGATGATGTGGTGGATATTAGACATTCTCTTGACACACTACACCCTATTTTTACCTTCTTATCCCGCCTTTTACCTAAACCCCATGACAACTTTATTAAAATCCCTTTGATTTGTGTATTTAGTTCACTTGCGAGTGGTGGAGATGTGATAAATGTGCAAGCCTATGGTAATGCCATTCCGAAATGTTGATTTGAGCGTTCCTAGTATTCATATATTTTCTTTGAATTACCACTTGTCCGGTGTGCTCTAATTTTGGCAACATTGTCAGGGATCTGAGATGTTTGTGTTAGTATAAATTACTACATGACCTTTGCTCTCTTGGTTGTACTTCTGAGCTCCGAAATGCTTGAGGGCAAGCATTGTCTAGGTGTGGGGGATTTGATAGAGCAATTATTGGGCACATTTTGCACTGTTATTTTGTCATAATTTTGGCTACTTACTGTGCTAAGTATTGAAATTTTGCTAATATTTCATATTTGTATGAATTATAGGTGGTTGGTGTAAAAAGTGTTTTCACGAGGCAAATATCCAGAAGACTCTCTATTTCATGGCGTGTCCACGCCAGAAACTGAAGAGGTACACCTAAAAGCCGGACCCGCGAGATTGGTTGCAGCGCAAAGTGGGCAATTAGGAGGTTGGGTCCACGTGGACCAGACGCATGGGATTAAAACCCCAAAAAAGCAAAGCTTTGCAGGGACTCTTTGTGAATTGCTCCTGGTGGCTACAAAAGGCCAAAAACCAAAAGAAAGCGAGATTCACATTTTAATTAATAGATTAGCTTTTAGTTTTTGCTTTTTAGGGTCAGACGTCTTCTTTTTCTTTGGACTTTTCGCACTAGCTTTAGACAATTGGGGAGTAGCTTTCGTTTGCGAACCCTGGAAGACGAATTGAAGTCTGCCGTCTTTGTTTCGTTTATCTCATACGCCTGTCGTGAGACAGGAGCTTTTACCTTTTGCTTTTGGTACAAACACGAAACAAAGTGAAGATAGAATTTTTCTTCGGGTCCGTTGTTATTCCGTCTCTCCTAGATTATTGGTAAATAATTGGATGCTATCAATTAAATCACGGGAGAGTGATATGATGAAGAGCGGCTAGTTTTCTCCTCTACCCAAAGGTCGACGCGAAGGCGCGGTCCATAATATTTATGAGATCTAATCGAATTTTCATTATTTCTTTTAATTCATTACTATTCATGCATTTTCTGAATTAATTGCTCATGCGTATTTTATTAATTGAGTATCAACGGCCAGATATTTAATTTAATATAATAGCCTACTGCCACGTTAATTAAATTGAATCCGTAATTGTTCGTTTAGTTGACAACTAGTGGCAACCACCATAATTGGTTTTATGTTGGGGAAACGTAAGATCTGGCTTAACTAAACCTTCTTAGCGTGTTTATTGGTTAGGGTTGGGTTCTTCTAGTTTTAATGCAACTGGATAATTAAATTTCTACGGTCGTATCTAGGGTTGTTTTCTGGTTAGAGAAGCAGTCAATGGTCGTACCTTGACTGTTGAAAAAATAAGGAAGAATTGGTTGTCAGAGCTTGTTGATAACTATAACCAATCTAGTAATGAGTAATTGAATTATCTTTGCATCGATGATCAGTTGAATGGACAGTGTCTGAAAAGTTGTACCTTTGGCTAGAGTCGTATTGGTTATTGATTACTTTCTATTTATTTCTATTGGTTGCTTTATTAGTTAGTTAATTAGTTATTTCATATTATCCAGAAACCCCCCATACTTCGGACTCTAAAAGAAATAAGTTATCCACAGTCCCTGTGGATTCGACCCTACTCACCGCTATATACAAAATCTGTATTTTTCTCAAGTAGGTAATTATTATTGCACAGGCTCGACACCTGTCAGACTTCTTGAATTGAAGGATTCCAAAAACTCCCACGACATCAACACTGAATCCCGGTCCAAAACCGGCATAAAACCATGAAAAATCAGACTCGCTGTGACCTTTACTATCAAGAATAGGTCCATTTTCTGTCGGCAATTCGTCTGCAGGGCAGCTATTGAGTGGCTTCCCACAGAGTCCAATATTTCCCTCATAGATGGATGGATCAGTCAAGGTCTGAAGTTGATTTCCAGATGGTATTGGTCCTGATAGCTTATTGTATGACAAATTCAGGGAGCTTAATGAGTTTAAACCAGACAAGCTTGGAGGGATTTCCCCGTTGAGTTCATTCGTCGATAAATCAAGTGTTTCAAGTTGCTTCAAATTGCCAATCTTCTGGGGGATCCTCCCATTTAGATGGTTTATTGAAAGGTTCAAAATTTGCAACCCAACGAGATCCATTATCTCATCAGGGATTTCACCAACTAAATTATTTGCTGAGAGGATAATCGATTTAACAGACAATAAGTTATTTGAATACTCAAGTTCTCTTCCTCCCTTCAAGTTTAGAAGTATTAATTCAAAATAATTTCTCATTAGCAAGTCAGCTGATGCTGCTTCTCTTGACACCATCATTGTGAAGTTATTAAAGCAGTGAGGAATAGATCCTGATAAATTATTGTGTGCTAGGTTGAGCACCTGAAGATGTAAGAGTTGGCAGAATTTATCAGGAATACCTCCATGGAAATTATTTGACTCGAGTCTCAGAAACTTCAAGTCCGATAACCTTTCCCCAATCCACACTGGTATAATATCCTGTATTCAATTTTCTCCGAGATCAAGGGTTTGCAATCTTATCAGGTTTTGCATTGAAGATGGAAGCTTCCCATCAAATTTATTTCCACTCAAATGCAGAGTACCAAGTTCCTCCAAGTTACCTAGTGAACTTGGGATCTGACCACATAGGTTGTTATCTGACAAACTTAGGGCGACCAAATGTCGCAAGTTACCCAAGCACAAAGGAATGCTTCCAGACAAATGGTTGTTGGATAGATCTAAAACCATTAAAGTTTTCAACCTGCACAAGTCTTCTGGGATACTACCTATGAAACGGTTGTGACCGAGGTAAAGAGACTCTATTTTTATAGCCTCTTTATCAACATCGGCAACTGCTGCATAAAATAATAATAATAATAATCAGCTACTATTTCCTGCAAATGCACTTCGTGAAAGATCCAAATTCAAAATACCTGTTGCAAATGACTTTAGAGATCCTTCCAAATTGTTACGGCAGATATCTAAGGCTTTAAGATAATTAAAATGCAGTCCAAACCAGCTGGGTATGGCATCCGAAATGCTCACATTTTGCATGAATAACACTTCAATATCCTTTTAGGTCCGGAGCCAATTTGGAAACTGGGGCCCTGTTTCGATAGAATCCATCGTAATGTGCCTTAGTTGGAAAGGAGGAACCCAAGAGGAGCTCACGTGCAGAGAGAGGAAGTTATAAGAAATGTACAAACTATTTAGCTCTCTGAGTTTCACAAAATGGTGTTCAGATAGTACACCAGTTAATGAATTTCTATCTACTTCTAGGGTCCGTTTGTTTCGGATATTTTCCTAGAAAATATTTTCCTAATTTCCCGTGTTTGGTTGCACAAAAGTTACTGAAAACATTTTCCTATGTAAAATATTTTTACTCATCTTATGGAAAACAACTTCCCTTCCAAACTTACTGAAGTTGTTTTCCGAAATGCATGCATCCCGCCAGTAGTATGTTCCAAACTTACTGAAAACATCTTATAGTATGTTCTTTTTTTTTTAGTGTAAACAGAAGGACTCGAACCCATGACCTCTTCCTTACACTCCCTCCCCCGTACCACCCAACCCTCCCCCAGTATATTCAAAATAAAAAAAAACCTCATCCTGCTCATCCTATGCTAGTAATTAATTATGTATAATAGGGACATTCTTTTCTAGAGAAATTTTCAGCAGTGAGAGTGCAAGATATATGTCACAATAAGCATTGCATGTGATTAATATTTGACACTAAATGGCCAGCAATTTGTTTATTGTTTAAGGAGATATTTTTTATTCATATATACATTTCTCCAAGATTTTTTAAAGTTAAACAATGAGATAAATTTTCTTATTTTGCATGGGAAGAAGTATGTAGTTATAATGTGTAGAAAGTAAAGATAGAGATAAAAGTGAAAATATTTCAAAAGTTAAACAAGCACCAGAAAAATAAAGTAAGAAATATTTTTAATAAGCTAACCAAACACCTGAAAATGATGAAAGGGAAATGATTTTCATGGAAAATTACTTCCGCGGAAAATATTTTCCCAAGGAAAACATTTTACTTCCAACCAAACAGACCCCTAATGTTTGTAACTTGGTGAGTTCCCAAAGACTTGAAGGAATCGTCCCATTTAACTCATTAAAGAACAAATATAGTCCAGTTAGTTTCCGAAGCTGACCTATTTCATTTGGTATTGACCCTTGCAAGTTATTTTCAGTCATCTGCAAACTAGTAAGACTGCTAATGTTGCAAATGGATTTCAATGTTGAAGTATCAAAGCAGTTTCCATACAGATTGAGTTTAACTAGAGATCCCATTTGCTCAAATGTATCATGAACCTCACCACCTAGATAACAAAAACGAAGATTAAGATCTTGGAGGCCCGTAAGGTTACCCAGCCAAGGAGCGATGGTGGGGTTGATAAATTGATTGGCACTGAGATCCAAGGAAGAAAGAGATGTGGAATTGACATGTAAAAGATGAGGAATGGTAAGTCTACAACCCTCTAAATCTAGTGCTTTTAGCAAAGGAAGCATGTTAATTGCGTTGAACACATCTTGAGCACCCGAAAGGTCTACACTGTTTAGGGACAGGGTTTCAAGAGAAGAGAGCCTAGCGACCCATTCAAGATCATTACTTGTCAATTTATTCTGAATAATTCCACCTAAAACAACACCAATATCTAAGTACCTTAAATGCGAGAGATTTCCCAAATGATGGGGAACTTCACCAACAAACCCTGCATCCGAGAGATTGAGGTATCTCAATTCTTTGAGCAATCCAAGAAATGTGGGAATCCGGATTCCCGAAAAATTATTCAAGCTCAGGTCCAAGTGCCGCAGATTGGTCAAATTGACCAAAGATGGGCTTAACTGATGACCTGCCAGGCAAGATCTGCAATGATACCAATGACAATAAATTTCGAATCCAGGTTGCTCCGAATTGCATAGATCGAGTTTCACCACATGGCCAGTTACTTTGTTGCAACTGATTCCATCCCATGAACAATAGTCTTCTCCAATCCATGACGATAGACGATTTGATTCATCTGTCAAGCTATCTCTGAACTGAAGAAGAGCTTGTCGTTCACTTTCAATGCAGGTGAAATTTGAAGAATGAGCTTGTCCAGTGAAGCCAAGTGGAATTTAGCTGGTGACCAAAATAGTTATGAATAAGAACAAGGACAACAATGAAGAAGTAGTATCAAGAAAATTCGGATGCCTCATTGGATTTCTTTGGTACATTGGTTATTTGATGAAACAAGGTCAGATGGGTGGTACCATTTATACGAGTGATAAAGCATCAGCTGCGGCTGTTAATGTTCGTAAGAAGGTGATAAAACCACACAACAGCCGTTGCGAAAGTCTCACAGCTGTTGAGCACTTTCTCTTTTCTGATGCTGACAATTTCCAGAATGAAAAGTTGTTAGAAAATTTTAATATCCGAATTTGGCAATGGCATGGACCAACTGATTTATGATGAGCTTGGATTAATCAACCAAAGGTTCCCCCAACATTTAAGGGGGAGTAAAACAGAATATGATTTTTATTTCTTTGTTTCCTGCAAATTCTTGAGAAATGTGCTATCTTTGTTAGCCCAAATAAATTGATGCAGATCTGTATTGTTTTTCCTCCAATGAAAACATCATTTAACATCATAATAAACTTTTTTATGTAACTAAAACATCTGAGTTGCCTTTCAACCATCAAAAAGTGGAGGTTAGAAGAAAAACGACGAGAAATGGACAATTTCAAGTCTGCATTCCAAAACAAGAGAAAGAAGGAAGTCCTACATACATTGTCATGATATCTTGAAAATATGCGGGCGTGCTGTTCTGCCGTGAATGGAAGGCAGTCGTGACATACATGCCACACAATTTAGTAGGTAGGATATCAATTTGGTGTTAGAATTGACCTGGTGATTCACTTCATTATTAAAAGAAAATCAGTTTTGTTCCTCACTTTTACAGTTTAGATTAATATGAGAATGTTTAACAAGAAAATCATCAAATTAATCAATATCTGTCAAATATCCTAAACTTGAAAGGCTGAAATTAACCAAAAAAATGGGAATTACAAAATCAAAGAAATGAGGGATGGTTGTAGTGTTTTGGGAAAACTCGAAAACTTATATAATAAATGACAAAATTGTGATTAGCTTTGTTGAAAATGTAAATTAGGTGATACGGGGCATTATTTACATAACTATGAGATCATTGATTTGAGTCTTAAACTCTTTCCTTTCCCTCCTCCTCCGATGTAAGGTTTGGAGCCTCTTATTAAAACAATTTAAAAATTGTAATTAGCTTTTTTTCCCCCTTTTTCCATGCACTAAGACACAGGATAAGTAACCCAAAAAAGAAGGGTGAGCCCATTACAAGACACTTGTATTATCAGCCACCCTTGATTGTGCCTTTGCATTAAATGTACAATTTTTGTAGACAAAATATTTCCTGGCGGGCTTTTTTTATCCATTGTCCTATGGGCTAAGAATAAAAGAACCCATCCCAATTACCCCCAAAGCACAAAGCTTGGATTATAGGTTATACATGCTCGGTTCTATGCTATAAGCACACCACCCTAATATCCACCATATGTATATAGAATTATCCATAAAAATAAAAGAGCAAACATAAAACAATTTTGTCATACAAAAACGTACCTGAAAGATGGAAGTTCTGCGTTTAAAATTTTATTAAAGTATAGGTACAAGAAAAAGTTATTTCCACTTTACCTTCTTGAACTTGGGGCTGAGTAATTGTTTGTCCCCCAAGTTCAAGATAATTAGAACTTCTTAATTAATTAATTAAGTGGTTCTAAATTGTCTAGACAAAACATACTCCAAACAAAAAAGTGATAAGTTGTGTTAAAATGCAAGAATTTTTTTTGTACTTTTGTTATGTTAAAATAATTCTTTTATCGTATCCACAGATGTTAACAAGGGAGCAAAAGAAGCTATTGAAGATTGTGCTAAAATTTATTTCTTTTTCTCAAATAAATTTGTTTTTCTTAGACAAATTTTTTATATTGTATTTTTATATTTATTTTTGTGGTTCATTCTTGTTTTATTTTTAAATATCTATGCTCAAAAAAATTAAATAATATATATTACCAATAAATATAACATTTTAATAACATCATTAATGAATAAATCAACATAAGGTCAATTTTATAAATTATATAAAATTCAATATTCAGTTGTCTATAACTATACAATAGGCTTACTATATTCAGTGTTTTCAAATAATAAGTCATATCAAATTCAGATTTAATAGTTCAGTAACTTAATAAATTTCAAATTTCAAATTTTAGACCTCAGATTTTGGTTGATACGAGTTAATACATGTTTATCAAACGCACCTTGAGTCTATTAGTTGATACATGTCGGTGAGTTTTGATATTTCAATTGCTAAAGAGGAAGACAATTTGAATTGGAGCTCGTGAAAATGGATCTTGAATTTAATTTGCCAAAGAAAAATTCTTATTTTGATTATCAAAATATTTAAATGAGACTTTCGGCCATTGAGTTGTATAAACGTATCCTTTGATCCTGTAACCATACCAAGGCTGGCTTCAATATGTCCAATTAATTGCCAGATTGAATTGGGCAAGTTTATGCCATGAATACCTAATACTTAATAATGAGAACATTATCGTTAATTATCAAGTAGTACTTAGAAGACGCAGCATTGGGTTTCTTTGGTATCGGTCTTTGATACAAAGCCCCAGTGACGGTTCTAAACCTGTTTAGTAGAAAGTCTTCGTGGAAACTAGTAGAAAACCATCAACCAAATGTTTGGTGGAAAAGGAGACAAATCGACGAGACGACTTGGAAGTCTTGGTGGAAACCTGTAACATCATGACAGAATTGTTAAGCATGGTTCTAAATGTTTGCCCAAAAAGGAGGCAAATTGATGAGACGACTTGAAGTCTTCGTGGAAACCTGTAACATTACGACAGAATTGTTAAGCATGGTTCTAAATGTTTGCCCAAAATGGTGGCAAATTGATGAGACGACTTGAAGTCTTCGTGGAAACCTGTAACATTATGATAGAATTGTTAAGCATGGTTCTAAATGTTTGCCCAAAAAGGTGACAAATTGATGAGTCTTTGTTGATGCCTGTAACATCATGACAGAATTGTTAATTGTGGTTCTAAATGTTTGCCCAAAAAGGTGGCAAATTGATGAGACGACTTGAAGTCTTCGTGGAAAGCTGTAACATTACGACAGAATTGTTAAGCATGGTTCTAAATGTTTGCCCAAAAAGGTGACAAATTGATGAGTCTTCGTTGACGCCTGTAACATTTGACAGAATTGTTAATTGTGGTTCTAAATGTTTGCCCAAAAAGGTGGCAAATTGAGACGACCTGAAGTCTTCGTTGAAACCTGTAACATTATGACAGAAATGTTAAGCACGGTTCTAAAAGTTTGGTGGAAAAGGTGACAAATTAAGGAGGTTATGTATGCCTCTTGAAACTACGGAAGGGTTGTATGAAAAATCATTAAATCACAGAAGAGTAAAGTGTATTTTACTCGATATATAATGACCTCTTCTACTGACAAGCATGACTAGATACATACTACTATTTCACAAGATTAAACTTTTAAATTTCACAAGATTAAACTCTAAAAAAGTTTTATCTGGTGATTTTTTACACGATTTACTTGTTTTATTACAATTTCATGAGTGACGCTCCCATAATGTTCTTGTTTAATTAGTTAATTAGGAGTCAGATCGATTCTAGATAGTGGTGCTACCACGGAGGTCCTTAATTAAAGCTACAAAATAAATTTAAATATCAAATTGATCATAAATAAAAGTTAGGAATTAAAGCGGTACCAACAAAAAGTTCAAAAATGAAATTGGCCATTTTCCTTTTTGAAATCCAGGTAGTTCTAATTTGGCCAGGGTCGTAATATGGTTGGAAAAGACGAACGGCAAAGGCATTCTCGAGGAAAAAGATGACCATCTTCTGAAATTGCAACTTTAGTCCTTGAAGAAAATTTGCATCAATACATTTTCACTTAATAAGTGATAACTTAATTACCAATCTAACTTTTATGACGGCGAAGTACGAGAGAAATTTAAATATTTCACTCTAACTTAATACCATAAAGAGATAAAAAGTAGATTTTTAAACTACAGAGAGTTTATATGAGCATCCCTTTGACCACAAATCATTTTGGTATTTAATCCTAGAACATGTAATTACGAACAAACGTTTCCTTTGCTAAATCAACATAATCAACTGTAATTCATGAGAATATAAGTATATAACCCATCTATTATGCATCTTATCCTCTGGCATCTTCAAGTTTAGACAACATTGTTGGGTTGCTCCAACTGCTGCATTTGGATGGCGGGGTCATGGCCACCATACAATTCCTCCAAACGTTTCAAATCCTTCAGGACGCTTTCTTGCATGCCATCATACCTCAATGATATGAATTCGACCTCCACGATCTTCCACTTCAAGACCATCAAGAAAATTCCAGCCGCAACGACGAGGAAAGTATGAAAATGGAGACCAAATAGACTCACAGCACATTCCAAGCTTGCAGTAACAAGGAAATGAAAAATCCCAAAATCAGTGCAAAGCCCGACGTTCGCGAGATTCCCCAGCCAGGCAATAGCCAAAGACAAGTAAGATAACATGAGAGGGATAGATTTGGCTTTGAAGTAGTATTGGACAAAAACAGTTCCCAAACATCCCAGTATAATTTCGAGGATTTTTCGATGTTTATAAGCGTATGCTGCCATAGATGGTGATCCCTCTAATTTCTTCAACGTAGAAGCTAACCGTAATAGGGAACTTGGAATGGATGCATGAATCAATATCAAGCTCAAATATGAATCCCACAAACTTGGAGATTGTAGAACAGATAAAGTTGATAGCACTAGAGCTTGAATGAAAAACCAGAAAATTGTATGACGAGGATACATCCTTAAAGGACCAGCAAAACCGGTTAAGAAGTTTCCCATGGCCTGAGAATATTTGAATCCCTGAGTAATTGGTTTTGAGCCCAGTAGCAGCCATAATACAGCAGAGACTAGCACCGCAGCTGCCTTTGCTGTGTTCCATCTGTTTCCTGGAGTTGTAAAGTATGCCAAAAATGCCAAAGAAGTTAAAGGAGTATGAACTGTCATGAAATCTCCATTAAAGTTCAGGAAAATTTTGTTACTTTGAGAAGTTTTAAGCGTATGATCATGCTCCAATAGAGGTCGACAAAGGAATGCACAAGTAGCTGAACAGCTAACTGATAAAACAATCCAACCCTCCAACCATCCAATCCAATACTCAACCAAATCAGATACCGGGATGATTGCTCTGCGTAAAGCATATATTCCGGTTGTTGAGAAAACCAGGCTGACCACAGACCAGAAGGAGAAGTACCAAATTGATGAGAATTCCATGTGTAACAAGGAACAAAGGGATGTTTAAACTTTTTTCTGTTTAAACTTTTTTTTTTTGGTTTTTGTTGGGGGTGGGGAGGATATTGAGAAAGCAAAAACTGCAATGAATCAAAGCAGAAAGAAGATTTTGACACAGCTATCAACAAGAAATTAGTTTTTTTTAACTATATGATATTTCCTTCCCCAGGTATAAAATTCAAACATAGCAGGCTTGTTTTCGCCCCTTGATAACACGGCAAATTTGTGTGCCTTTGGTCAATGGAGGTGATAACTGATGGTTTGGTCGATGGAGTTGGTAACTGATGATTCTCGAAGACCATGCGGGTGATAAAAGTCAATATTGCCTTTGGTTTCATTTCCGCGTCATGATGGCTGACTAAGTCAGCTTGAAGTTATTCAGACGGTATATATATATATATATCATAATGTTAATCACACTTCAATTATTTATTTTATCATACAATTTAATAAATAAAAATCATATTATAAAATGATAGTGAGAGTAAGACTAATAAAAGAGAGTGCAATTAACATTTCTCTATCATTTTTTACTAGATTATACCAATTTTCTTTTCTTGTTCTGGTTGACTTCGTACTAGACTGGGGGCGGTGGATATGGAAATCAAGTAGTTTTTCATTCGGAAAATTCAGTAACCAAGATGTTTCAATTTGCAATTCAGGATATTGTTAGAGGTGATGTACATCGTTGACATTAAACTAGCGGTAGAGAACTTGGATCAAGACGTCCCGCTTTACTAATTATTATACATTTTGCTAACACAAATTGGTTCAATTGATAAGAATGAGTCTTTTTAAAAAAAAAAAATGATAGTGTTCCAATCATGATGTTGATGCAATGACTACCCGCCAAAACATTCCGTAAAGGATCTTCTACTTCACTTCATGTATCATTCCCTATTCAACCATCTATTAAATGGCTATATGTATGCTTTATGAACATTTCATTTTAATTTTTTTTCTTGTCCCTTTGAGTTCTAACATTACTAACAGACTAAAAAAAGCAAATTTTGACTAAAAAATGGATTTTTTAATAATTTTTTGTTAGACCAAGTTAAAACACTTCATTTGGACATGTTTGCAGGGGATTTTACCAACCAATGCAGTGATGAGGGCGAAATGTGAGAAAGGGGATCCTGTGTGTAGGTGCTGTGGAGAAAGTATAGAGACATTGGAGCATATGTTTTTCATGTGCAGTAATGCTAGAGCAATTTGGAAAGCTGCTCCATTGAGCTGGGAGGGCTTGGAGGTGTTTAATAAGAGTTTTTGGCATTGGTGGGAAGAGCTTAGGGGGGCCACGGGTAGGGTAAATGGGAAAGAACACATAGCTCTTACTGTGAATATTCTATGGCAGATTTGGAAGGCCAGGAATGACAAGCAATTCAACAATAAATGCATTGATCCAAGGATACAGTAGTAGATAAGGTAGTGCTGGAATGGAATGAGTATCAATTGGCCCAGGATGCAGGGATAGTGGAAGAGGGTAATAGTGCAGGAAAGGTGGGGGCAACCAGAGGCTGGGAGAAACCACAAGATAATTGGATTAAGATCAATACGGATGCAGCCCTGAACATGAAGCGAGGCAAAGCTGGATGGGGCATTGTGGCAAGAGATAGGCATGAGAGGGTGATAAGATCCTGGGCATGTCCAACTACATGCTGTGCAGATGCAAAAGTTGAGGAAGCCTTGGTGATCAGGGAGGCGATGGGGCTAGCCAGGAGAGAGGGATGGAGGAAGGTGGAGTTTGAATCGGATTGTAAATTGGTGGTAGATAAGATTAATGCGTATGAGGAAGAGAGTAGCATAGCTATTATACTGGCAGATATTTGGAGCCTGCGTACTAAATTTGATAAATGTTGTTTCTCCTTCACAAGAGGGTCAAACAACTCTGTAAGTCATCAATTAGCAAAATTTGCTATAGATTTGAAAGATATTGCTGAATGGAAGTGTGACTTCCCAGCATGGCTGCTAGAGCTAGCTCAAGCAGACTTGAAGGAGGATAGACTCTGACTTTGTACTGTTTTATGATTAATATGATGTTGCCGTTTGAAAAAAAAAAATTTTTTTGTTATTTTTTGTATTATATATTATTATGTAGTCTATTGTATTTTATAGTCTACCCAATAAATAATTGTTGGAATTCAAAGGAATAAGAAAAAAATTAAAATGGAATATTGTATTTTAATGGATGTTGAGATAGGGAATGATACATCAAGTAGGAAGTCCCAGTGACGGTTTATCAAGTAGTACATAAAGTAGGACTATCGTTAATTATCAAGTAGTACTTAGAAGATGCAGCATTGGGTTTCTTTGGTATCGGTCTTTGATAAAAAGCCCAGTGACGGTTTAGTAGAAAGTCTTCGTGGAAACTAGTAGAAAACCATCAACCAATTGTTTGGTGGCAAAGGAGACAAATCGACGAGACGACTTGGAAGTCTTGGTGGAAACCTGTAACATCATGACAGAATTGTTAAGCATGGTTCTAAATGTTTGCCCAAAAAGGTTGCAAATTGATGAGTCTTCGTCGACACGCCTGTAACATTACGACAGAATTGTTAATTGTGGTTCTAAATGTTTGCCCAAAAAGGTAGCAAATTCATGAGACGACCTGAAGTCTTCGTTGAAACCTGTAACATTATGACAGAATTGTTAAACAGGGTTCTAAAATTACGGACAAATTATATATATCTTTTGAAATTACGGAAGGTTATATGAAATATCATCAAACCACATAAGAGTAAAATGTATTTTACCCAATATATAACACGATCTCTTCGACTGACAAGCATGACTAGATACATATATAGTGTTCAATCGGATCTTGTGCGGTTGTGCCTTGTATGCAACATCTCTGATCTGTCCTTCAGGATTTCTGATTAGTACCGTCTTTGTGATTACTGGATTCTTTGGTGGAATCTTGTAGATAGTCTTGCAAGGACTTCAAGTTATCAAGGGCAAAATACACTTTACCTATGTGGTTTAGCGATTTTTCATATAATCCTTCTATGATTTCAAAGTTATCTGTAACCCTCTCATAATTTGGATTAAAGTGTCAAAATGACAAAAATATTCATTTATAACGAAACTAGCGAAAATGTCGAAATTACCCTTATTTAAAAACTAAAATGGCTGAAATAACTAAAAAAATATAAACATAATATGCATGATATTATAACCCCATATGATTTTATGTTTTACCATATAACCCTCTTATGGTTTAGTGTTTTACCATTTAACCTCTTTATAGTTTACAAAATATATACACAACCCCCCTGTTGTTAATAAATAATTTTGAACTATACATAGGAGTACGTTAATTATTTTGTTGACTCTGTTATAGATACAAATTCCGTCATTTTGATACTTTAATTCAAACTATGATGGGATTATATATAACTTTTAAAACCATAGGAGGATTATATGAAAAATACTAAACCACAAGGGATAAAGTGTATTTTGCCCGATTATCAAAGAGAGACTCAATCTGGTCATTTTTTGCAAGAATCAAATGTTTGTTAGGAGTAGAGAACTGGTCAAGGGTCTACAGAAGAATTGCTAGAGAGGCATAAGCCCTCCTGCTCCTTTCCTTCTGTCAGAGACAAAGGAGTGATAACCTTTGTACAATTCTCAACTGATGATCAAAGAAAAGAATGCATAAAAATCACATATTGGAAACGTTCTGTAGTCACGTAATGGATGCTACTTTATTAAGTTGAGCTGTTGGGTGCCTAACAAAGTTGACGGCAAAGGCAATCCCATTTATGACTTGTGGTTAAAATGTTCCTCAGGAAATGAATGAATGAAAGCTGAAAGAAACTGCAGCATTAGTATTTCGATCAATCTTTATGCAATTTCCATGAAAAAATCAACAAAGTCTTTTTACAGAAATAGCATAAAGCTGTTGATTGCATGAACAAATTTCGACTTAGTTCTGAAAATTTAAGGTAGAAATTTAGTCTACAAAATTTTATTAAGAATTAATTATAGGACACAAATTATATTTGCTTGTGTAAAAATATTTTTCAACTGATTATATAGAACATTTGCTTTTGAGCAAACAAAGATGCACCACACATTAAATGAGTTTTCATTAGACTCTAGTTAGTACATTTATTAGCAGTCTATAAAAATCAATTATTCAAATTAAGTCGTCATTGTCTGTAGAGAGCAAGCATAATTCATATTATTATCTGTTTTTTTTTTGGTGCAATAATTCACAATGTTTATGTCTAACTTGAACAAATCCTTGTATGTAGAACTCGGAGATTACAGGGGGGATGACTAATCCTTGTATTACATTTACATCTGGAGTTACCATACTTGAAGAAAGTCTCCATTCTAAAACCAGATCCAGCAGCACCAACAGCTTGAATGGTTATAGGCCTAACACATTGTAACACAACAAAATACAAATGTGAGTAAGTGTTCTCTAAGCATAATTAGTAAGTATTTAAGTTTAATAACTTCTATAATTTTTCGCTTGTTTGTTCGCGTAAAAAAAAAATTAATAACTTGAGATTTCTTGTAACTTCCATTGATTCTAATAAAAATATGGGCAAATTCCACTTTACCCCCCTGTAATTTAGCATTTTTCACATAACACCCCTATGGTTTCAAAAGCTATATATAACCCCCTTATGGTTTGGATTAAAGTGTCAAAGTAACGGAAATAGTCACTCGTAACGGCGTTACCTAAAATATCAAAAATACCGTTATGTAAAGTTGAAATTTATGTATTAACCAAGGGGGGGTTATGTGTATATTTTGAAAATCATAAGGGGGTTAAATGGTAAAATATAAAAATCATACGGGGGTTATATGGTACAATTTGTAGAAGTTCCGTTACGAGTGACTATTTCCGTTACTTTAACACTTTAATCCAAATCATGAGGGGGTTATGTATAGCTTTTGAAACCATAGGGGGATTACGTAAAAAAAAAAGGGTAAACCACAGGGGGTAAAATGTAATTTATCCTAAAAATATCTTAATTGTTACTATTAATAATAAGATGGAACGTCCGTGGAAGACGGGGACCAGAGGACTCTTTGGACACAATCAGAGGCCAACTTTGACGGGGGTGGCCGAGTCCGAGACTGAGTCCCTCTGACCCATTGTGCGTCGTCCCCCAGTCCTAGGTGGCCGTCCTCAGAACAAGCTTGTGTCCGAAGGGGGCCGTCCTCTCAACAAGCTATAGATTTTCTATTGAAGCGCTCGGATTCATTTGTTCATAGAGTATAAATAACGCTAAAAACATAGGTGCAAGTAATTATGGATAATCAGCCAATTGAATTGTGGTGCCTTATTGCAGAATAAGAAAAAACAGAATGTTATGTGCTTTTGTACATATACTTACTCAATGGAAATTCCTCCGTAGACGAGAAGTCTTCAATACGATCATAACCCAAATTCTGTCATGGGCATTTTCCAAACATTTGAAGACTGCATAGCGCCATGACTTCTTGAATTGAAGGATTCCCACAACTCCCACTACACCAACACTGAATCCAGGTCCAAAACCGGCATAAAACCATGAGAAATCAGACTCGCTGTGACCTTTGTCGTCAAGAACAGGCCCATTTTCTGTTGGCGATTCGCCTGCTGGGCAGCTGTTCAGGAGTGGCTTCCCACAGAGTCCAATGTTTCCCTCATAGATGGGATCATTCAAGGTCTGAAGTTGATTTCCTGATGGTATTGGCCCTGATAGCTTATTGTATGACAAATTCAGAAAGCTCAATGTGTATATACTCGACAAGCTTGGAGGGATTTCACCTCTGAGTTCATTCATCGATAAATCAAGTGTTTCTAGTTGCTTCAAATTGCCAATGTTCTTGGGGATCCTTCCATTTAGATGGTTTTTTGAAAGGTTCAAAGTTTGCAACCCAACGAGACCCATTATCTCATCAGGGATTTCACCGACCAAATTATTTCCTGAGAGGCTAATGGATTTAACAGAATCTATGTTTTTTGAGTACTCAAGCTCTATTCCTGCCTTAAAGATTTGAAGTACGGGATCAAGATAAGACTCGTTTGAGAACGGAAATGTTCCTGATTTAGTTGATTCCATCGCGGTGAAGTTTTTAAAGCAGTGAGGAATAGATCCAGATAAATCATTATGTGCTAGGTTGAGCACTTGAAGATATGGGAGTTGGCAGAGTGTATTAGAGATACCTCCGTGGAAATTATTCGACTGAAGTGTCAGAAACTCCAAGTCTGATAACCTTTCCCCAATCCACGCTGGTATAGTACCCGCTATTCTATTTTCTCCCAGATCCAGGAACTGCAATCTTTTCAGATTCTGCATTGAAGGAGGGAGCTTCCCATCAAATCTATTTTTACTCAATTGCAGAATAATAAGTTCACCCACGTTACCCAGTGAACCTGGGATCTGACCATATAGGCTGTTATTTGCCAACCGTAGGAACCGCAAATTTCGCAAGTTTCCCAAGCATAAAGGAATTCTTCCAGACAAATGGTTGTCGGACAGATCTAAATAAATTAAAGTTTTCAACTTGCACAAGTCTTCCGGGATACTACCAGTGAAATGGTTGTCATTGAGGAGGAGAATCAACATTTGTACAACCTTTTTATCAGCATCAGCCGCTGTTGCATAAAAATTTAATTAAAAAAAATAGAACAACAACTCATCCACTGTACTATGTCCTGTAAATGAACTTTGAAAAAGATCCAAATTTTAAATACCTGAAATAATTGAGTTGAGAGATCCCTCCAATTTGTTACCGGAGAGAATTATGGCACTAAAATCATTAGAAAGCACTCCGAACCAGCTGGGTATGGCATCTGAAATGCTCGCATTGTACATATTTAGCGCTTCAATCTCCTTTTGCGTGCGTAGCCAATTTGGGAACCGGGGCCCTATTTTGACAGATGCCATCGCAATATATTGCAGTTGAAAAGGAGGAACCCAAGAGGAGCTCACGTGCAGAGAGAATAAGTTAGGAGAAATGTACAAACGCTTTAGCTCTCTGAGTTTTGCAAAATGGTGTTCGGA